TCATTGATGGGGTTGAGCTAGCAAGCCCAAGCCCGAGTCCACTATCTCACCAGACTATTCTGATCAGTGGGCCTAGCAATCCAGAGCCCAAGCCGACCCAACCAATCAAGCCTACCAAAGAAAGGAGGTCTAGCAGAGCGGAAGTCTAACAGAGTGGAAGTACGAGACGACCTACCAACCTATCAGACTAACGGGAGGCAGGGCCGGCCATGGGGGCAAGCTGCCTAGACAAGTGTCTAAAGTCCCTAAATTTTTGGGGTCTCCAAATTTTAAATTAAGCCTATTACTATTATATTCGACCACCGACGAAGCAGCGAGCACTATCGAGCAGCGAGCCTTGACCCCGAGCAGGATTCAATTTCAGGTCTTCAGGCGGACTGTGGACACCAGGACAAAGTGACAAACTTCAATTCCATCTTCAATTCTTAGCTCTTTGCAGTTCGTAAATTGCAAATAGCTAGTCAGGGGAGGATCCAAAATTTCATGTTAGAGTGGTTTTTTTTTAATCATCAAATACAACAGTTATATTAAAATATTAAGAAACGGATCGTTACAACAAACTCAAAAAGATCAATCCTGACAAAAACTATCCCTAACCAACTATCACAATCAACCTTACGGCTAGACTCTGAGACGATCGCCCTTGAAAGAGCAATATGAATCGCTAACCACCAAGCGAGTGTGACACAGCAATCACTGGCCATATAGATCCTTCTAATGACATAATATCTAGCAGAATTGACAATCATTATTGTAAACATAAAACTAAAGTCCTCAACAAAAAACGAAACCCCGTAAATAAACATAACACGAAAATAAGACCATAAAAAATAGAATAACTGAAAAATACTTCAAACTTCTTTCTGACTGTTTTATTGAAATATAATCTTCCAAACTCCAATATCTCGATCAACCAAGGAGGCGGTTCAGAAGGGAGACAGACCGCCGATTTGTAATCTCCCTTGCTCAGCCCTTCGTCGCTCCCCGTCTGTTCATCACCAATGTCGAGGACCGGAACCAAATCTGTCAACCCCATGATGTACGATAGATCTGGATTATCACAAAAAGAATGACCAAAATTGGCCCCGCTCCTCGACGCAAACCGATAGCGGACGAACCCTAGAGAGAGGAAACTTGCACGACACGAAGCGCAACATCTGTACGATCACACACCTAGATTTCTACGTTTTGCGAGGATTGTTTTGAATTGGCGATCTCCTTCGTCGGCAAGAAAAGTGGATCGATCGCTAGGGTAACGCAATTTCTCACACTACAATAATACGGAGTACTAAACGCAAGACCTTTTTGAACTTAATTCCAGTCTCCGAATTAGTTAAACACCCTAATTAATGGTTTCGAAAACAAATTGGGGTGGGTAGAAACACTTAAAGTCTTAAATGATAATACATTAGAAAAATTCCAAACAAGCAAAAAAAAAATATAAGAGTTTTCCTCTAAATTTATTCTCGAAAGGCTTTGAAACAAAAAACTCATCAATAAAAGAGTCTACATCTATACTAATTACTAAGAGTAAGATCTTCATCAATATAAAGTCTATTGCCTCATTGAAAATATCAAAGTGATGATGATGCTCAAGTGTAGTTTCTTATGGGCAATGACCAACCATATATTTAGAACTCAATTCCAATACATGAATTTCATGTTTTGAGTAAAACTCCTTTAGTTCTTCGGGATAGCATTCTCATCCATTTTTTGTCAATTCCCCGAGAATAAGTTGTGTAGCATTCTCATGTCAAATCTATTTTAGAGAATACATTGGACCCGTGTAATTCATCTAACAGTTCATCAATGATAGAAATTGGAAACTTATCTTTTATACTTTGCTTATTTAGCCTAGGAAGTTTGGATGGAGGGATAGGCATAGGTTTATACCCATAATTAACTTGACTTTATCCATTTCTGAATGTAGGTCTGTCAGCATAATTTCTTCCCACTTTCTTTAGAGCTTTCAAGCTATTTTCTTGCAAGAGGACATACTCCATGACTTGCAATAGAGTTCTTGGTTTAAAGGCCTTAACAAAATGTTTTATAGTAGGATTGAGACCCCCTATAAAACTGTCCAAGAAAAAAAATCATCTGACAATCTCTAGCTTCTTTGTAACATTAGGACTTTTAAACTCTCAAACCTATCATATAATCATCTAGTGAATTACTTTGCTGCAGTTTGTTGAATTCTTCTACCATAGATCCCCACCCATTTCTTCATTAAACCTAGCACATGTATCAAGCACACCTATCCATGAAACCATGCTTCAACTCTTCCAATTAGGTATAAGAAGGCTAGGTCAACTTTCTGATTATGCTCCACTTTACACAAGTCAAAATACCTAAAAAACAATTGTATCAAACTTCCAGGTAATACTCCATTGAAGACAGGGAACTCAATTTTAGGGGAGAATCGAAGTGTTCTAGAATGGTTAGCCGAATTAAATTGCAGGGATGCATTATCATGAATTGAATGTTAAATCTTTGCACGTGAAGCGATCGCACGCAAAGTATAGGGATGCAATCATTTTGCACATAAAATAGGTTACATTGTTTGGCTAGATGTGTTATTTATTTTTAAATTGCACGCAAAGTCGTTGTAGTGCTTCATAAAAGGCATGCAAAGTATTTTACCACCCTCCCCTCACGTAAAATACTTTACATGGTACAGTGCGAAATGTTTTAAAAAAGTGCCCTACAGTTCACATTAAATAATCAAACCAAACAGTGTAAACATCTTACGTCCTTACACTTCGCATGCAAAGTAATTACTTTACATCTTACCAAACGCCCCCTATGTACAAAGTATTCGACTGGGCTATTTATACGTCTCTGTACACCCTCCCAACTAATAGTCCAACTAATAGTAGTTAACACTAACTAACCGCAAATTATACCGTGGGATCGGCCCACCGTGCGCACGGTGTGCCGATCCCAAAACGGTCCCGTAATTAATAAAAATCTGCAGAGCTCTTCCCACTGACTTGAATGGCGACGATCAATTTCAGAGCTCCTCCGATCCCCTGAAAAATCTCAGGCTCATGCGCAATCATCTGCAGCTTTCATTCCCCAATAAACAACCTGAGAATCACTTTTCCATTAAATCGATCAATGATAAGGTGAGAGACAGGACATCACTAGATGAAAGCCATCTCTGGCATCCTAATTAACTCCCGGCCGAAGCTGAGACCTGAAAACTAACTGGCCGGCAACGTCGTCCCTAATGTGCACGCTGGAAAGAGGCCTGACAGGGAATGGGGAATTGAACTTAATTAGGCCAAAACTGATTTTAGGTTTCCCATGGATCTCTTGAAACGTCAGTAGTTCTATGTTGTTTTATTTTTATTTATGTAGGAAAAGTTACATTTTTATTATAACAAGTTACATTTCCATTTATATCAAGTTACATATCTATTAGCTTGAGTTACATGTCAATTTTCCTCAGCAAGTTACATTCTGCTTGCACATGATTTACATATTATTTAATACGAGTTACATCGTAATATAATGTGAGTTACACAACACAATAAGCCCCTAATATTCATTGTTTTTTTATTTATAAAAACGTTTTATGGCCCTGAAATGTAATTCACATTATTGATCAATGTAACATTTTTTAAAGTCTTTTTTTCATTATTTACATTGAAATCAATGTTTTACTTCTTATACTATGTATTTGACAAGTTACATTTCGACTACACTTGAGTTACATTGATCAATAACGTGAATTACATTTCTTTACACGGGAGTTACACCATTTATGTTACTGGGATGAAAAGAAAAAAACAAGTTACTGTACATGTGAGTACTGTTCACGCGATTTTTTTTAATTGATCAAAACTACGTCGTTTTAGACAAGGAGCATGGTGCTCACCGTGGGATGATCCCACGGTATACGAACTCCTAACTAACGAAGGCCCAGCCCCAAACTATTCAATTATACATTTGCCATATAGACTACATTGACTATTCATGATATGCCACATGGATTACGTACTTAGACTAATCATAACAAGTGGTAAGGGGGAAGGAGACATGTGGAGATGAAAATTTACATCCACAACGATGGTTATCCCTTTTATGGTGCAATAACACAAATTAGCTCTGTTTTGTGTTTGAAAAGGAGATATGCAAAGATGGGATTTCCTCAATGACGGTTTCCTTGTTCAAGATTTACGAATAAGGACGACTAGCCATTTTCAAAGTTATTTGGGAAAAGAGAATTTTTGAAAGTACATTTACCTGCACAAGTATTTTCTCCATGATGGGCGAAGGAACTTAAGGTATATATTGAGTAGGTGGCTCACACCTTATTTTTTAGCCGGGGGTCGGGGAGCTAGGGGAGACTGGAGTAAACATGAGTCGGCTCACACCCTTTCACCGGATGATGGTGGTATCAACTATCAAGTAGGGAGAGCGAGCCATAAACTTTCAAGAAGTTCAATTCCTTGAAGAGAAATTACTATCTGTTGACACAATAGGGTTGAAGATTGTTAGATTGATACTGGAGGGGCGGGGGGGGGGGGGGGGGGGATTATTGAAAATTTCAGCCCATGCCACCATCCTATCCTCCAAAGATGATAGTAATGGAGAAAGCAAACTTGAATAAGTTTCTTTCCAGGAGAACTGATTGTTGGTTGGTGTGTAGTACGTGGTAACGCTATATATTTTGCATGTATTTTGTTCTCTAAAAGCGTGGGTGTCTAAACCAAAAGAAAGAGTGAGTTTGGGATAAGAGAAATAGTGAAACTCTATCAAAAGAATTTGTATAGGTTAATTGTTTATGTAATTTAGAGAGCTTGGCTTCTCCTCTAATTTTGGTTGTGTTTAAATGCTTAATAGAAGAGTTTCCAATCTCAACAATTTTTCTATGGCATGAGGGAGGAGGAACACTCTTCTACGGGATGGGCCACCTGCCGTGTTATGAATATTTTATTATGTTCAGTTATTTTATTTATCTTTGTAAAACCAGTAATCAAAGGGTGAAAATAAACAAATCAAAGCTAGTAAAACTAGTACTCATAAATGTTTACACACCAATAATTGTCTTGATCAGGACCAATAATTGTTTTTACCAGCAACAGAAATTAGAGAATACTCATAAACATCTAACAAGAAACTTCATAAACCACTAATCTAACAAAGGAAACCACATAAACAAAAACACCATAATCTGATAACTTATAGAAGGATATTACAAAAATTTCAGTATTAACTTAAAAACAACATTGCTGATAATAATCATAAGAACCACACTAATTTTACATTCTAAAACTTCCTCACATATACGATTCTAAATCAAAGAATATCATCATAGGCAACGAGCTCCCTGCCCTTGAATGGATCCCCTAACCTGGAGGCAATCCCACCTCGTTTCTTATAAGTATTATTACTATTCGTTTTGTTGTCATCTTTGGGGTTCACAATATCTGAACCCAGCCTGTTACCTCTCCCATGCCTACTTAGTGGCACTTCTGCTCTAACCAACTTAGAGGAAACTGCCAATGTTCCTTCTCTCTTAGACGCCCCTTCCTTCTGCTCTGGCAATGGATCACTTGCCCACATTACTTGCACCTAACATCACCCAAATAAATAAATAAAAAATTAAACAACAAAAAATTAGTCAATGGATAATGTAAAAAGAAAAACACTCAAAAAGACCTGTCACTTTTTTGAAAATTAACATGAAAAGATAAGATTTTATGCAGCTTTGGTAAAAGGAGAGATCAGAACCCAGAAATGTTCTCATTTGGTATAATAAATTGTTTCCCGTTTCCTTGCTGATTTCATCATTTAAGCATTTTTCATACTTATTCCATAATCCGTATTTTGGCATGTGGAAGAGCTTCTGCTTCCCAAGTGCTGGAATTCCTAAACCATGGAAAGAAATCTTCTCACCTTCCAGTTAGGTATTGCTATTTCCTCTGTTATTCATCCATCGTTCAAATTACCCAAATTGGAGAATTTGAACTTCTTTATTTTCCATATTTTCTTGAAATAATGGCTGGGATATTACCTCTAGAGTTCTAGTGGACAAGAATATGATCACATTTAAAATAGGACAATAAACTTATCAATTGCTACCTAATAATTAATGGACAAGGATATACATTAGCCCAAACATATCCTCCATTCTTGCTGCGCGCATCAACCGTTACAAGCATTTGGAGAACCAGATCTACTGCCTCAAGAAACCAGTAGCCACGCACAAGCCGCCGTCACCACGCACATGCCGCCCTCGCCGCCCTACTGCCACACATCATCCGTCGCCCTTTTGCCGCCCATCCCTTTCCCATCGCCACGAATCCCTCCGTTGCTCATCCTCTTCTCTTTCTATCGTGTGCATGCGAGTATGCGACTAAGATTGGCATCATCGGCTATGAAGATGACGACGACGACAAATGAGGCAGCGCGGACCGGCGGTTGATGACCCTATTTTCAGCAGGTGGGGTGGGATATGACGGTTGTAGGGGTATGTGTGGGTTTGTGGGTCTGCAAGGCCATGGATGGGGAGGGGGATGGAGAGGGGCCTGGGGAATGTGTTGGGGAATGAGGGTTGGAGAAGTGGGGTTGGGGCTGGTGAGGCATGGAGGGCGGTAGTCACTGCATGGACGATGCTAGAGGCGACAGTCACTGGAGTGGCAAGTGGTCATTGGCAGTCACTGGACGATTACTATTAGGAGTTTTGGTATGACAGTCACTATTACCGCCAACATAGTTACTAGTTAGTTACTACTTACTAGAAGTTTTTGTATGACAGTCACTATTACTACAAATCACTACAACCCGTGAGTAACAAAGTAATTGCGCCACACATTGGGTATAGTGACCATAACTCAAAAGAAACAATCTGCCGTGACTACACTCCCTCTGTTATGCGACGAAACTGAATTTTGGAACCGCACACAATCAGTCATGTCACAAAATGAATATGTTTAATAACTGAAAATTCAATCATTTTTGCTTTCAGTTACAAGATTGAAAATGCATTAAATGCCCCGATTTTGTAGCATGCAAACCGTTGCTAGACTTCATCCAGAAATGGTAGTTTTCATAATTCCAGCTCACGTGTACATGCATGCTAGTAGTCACATTATTGGAATTTCATTTTTAAAGTCACTTTTTGGTCTTTAGGCCTCTATACAGTAATATTCATAATAAAAGGCCTATTTTCTTCCCCCCACCCCTCCTTTATTTCTTCCCGTCCAAGTATCAAACTAGCCATAAAGGATACTTCAGTAAATAAATATAATGAATAGTCAATTGAATAAATATATACATATGCTTAAAGTCACTAAGCTTAAAGACATTATGCTCAACTGAAAGTTTTCAAAATTGCTTTTCTCTAATTACTTATCCATCTTGATCATATACTAAATTGCTCTAATTGGCTATCATCAATTGCTTTGCTATAACAGTAGCGGATCCAGAAGATGAAATTATTGGGGGCATAAGTTGATTCAAAGATCAAAAAACAATTTATTAAGAGGAACAAAATTTGGATAGATATATCAGTAGTCAAAATTTTATATTTGAATTACTTTTCTAGACCATAAGTATGTATTTGTATGTGTACACGCAAAACAAAAGGCTCAAGCCCCCTTGTTCTAACCGTATAAGGCTTTGTTTGCAAACAATTAATTTAAGTGCTTTTGGCTTTTTTTTAAGAAAAAAGCACTTGTTTTACCAAACAATACCAACTTTTACTTTCTCGGTTTTCGTGTAGAATCTACTTTTTACTTTTTCTATCACACAAAAAGCACTTATTTTACCAAACACTATCAACTTTTACTACTAATCACTTTTTCTCAAGAAGTGCTTTTATTTAAGTACAATCACTTGCAAACAGAGCCTAAAATTATAAACATGATATTTGGAATTTAATTAATGCAATTTGACATTCTGAAGTTTAAATACAAGATTATTACCATAATCAATTCACTAAATAACTAAATAATTTTATACTTTGTACAAACCTTATCAGTTTTCAAGATTTTAGTGCTAAATAATCGATAATGTGTGCTTAAAAGGTCTAAATTGTCAAATACTACCCGTTCCTAAATAGCTTCTAACAATGATGACAAACTTATTACTAAAGTTAAAATGTATGACTTAATTAATGTAGACAAAGAAAGATGAATATTAACTACACAAATTATTTCAAAAGAAACCCAAAAAGAATAGAAAACGAGGATAAAAGAATTTAGACATTAAAAAAAGAAAATAGGAAAGAAATTATGAGGTAGAGGGAGTAATACTTTTACATGACTAGTTTGCTCATCTTCATAACTAGCTTAGAAAATCTAAAATGCTTTCTTTATATTATTAATTAACAGTTGATTCCTTCATCTACAAAAAAAAATGAATGAACATTTTGGTTCAAGTAATCTTAATTTGAACAAGTAACATACTTATAATAACTCAAATGATTTTTCTTGTAGTAAAAAATTGTTGGTGGAGATTTAAATTGTTGGTGGGGTAAATGAAAATGAAAATGATTGGGGCAACTCAAAATTTTCATTGGGGGCAAACTACTTTTTACAATAAATTACCAAATTTAGAAAATTTATCCGCCTCTGCTTTGATTTGCTCTAGTTAACTAGGGATTCCGAAATTGATATTTTCTAATTAGCTCATCGACGCTAAGGCATATATCCAGGGAAACTAACGAACAATGAATTGGGGGTAAATGAGCTTACTGGTTTGGAATGAAGGATAATGGGGAAAGTGGCGTCAGCAGAAGCAGACATGGCGGACTCTGCAGAATCTTTGGACCGGAAGGTGATGTATCCGAGCCCAGTGGGGTCCATTCGGGTGCGAGAGATTGAGCCGTAGATCTCAAACCGAGACTTTAGGTCTAAGACAGAACACTCTGCCGGAACCCCAATAATAACCACCGTCGTCGGTAGTTTGGAAGAAGCCGGGGAAGTTTCCGGCAAAAGATCGTCCTCTGCTGCAACGGTGCTGGCCTCATCATATGCCGGCGGTGGAAGAGGACGACGCCGTTTAGGGAAGGAGTAAGGAGCACGGCGGTATTGAGAGTGTCGGTCTCTCTTTCGATCCATTATTTTTGTTTCTTTTTTCTTTCTGTTTACAGGTGCTATCGCAAATATTATTTATTGCTTTTCTCATATATTTATATTTCCTTCACTAAAATTATACTCTCTCGGTACCATTTAAAAATGGTGTTTGTCCTCAAATAATACGAGTACTAATCTAAAGCATTTGGACAAAAAAGTGATTTTTCTTTTAAGTTCCAAAAATAAGACTAAATAATACTTAAGGAACTATTACACCCTTACTAAGCCCAAATTCACTGGCTTGCCACAGTAACCCGCCACAATGATCAAATGTGCAGTGACCAATGTTACAGTTACCAATGACATAGTTACAAAATCCGCCAGTGACCAAAATCCATCAATGACCGAAATCCGACAGTGACCAAAATCCATCAATGACCAAAATTCGCCAGTAACCAAAAAACCGCCAGTGACCAAAAGTCCAAAACCCGACAGTGACCAAAAATTAAAAATCAGTCCGTTACAACTGCCCATTTACCACCCGGGCAGTGACCACCCGGCTCATCCAATTACAATTACCTGATCCATCCAGTTACAGTTACCCGACCCATTTAGTTACACTACCTATTTCGCTCCATCACCACCGGTGACCACCACCGGTGACCACCACCGTGCCACCGCCTATCATGTCCCTTCCGCTGACCAACAACCCAGCCCCAGTAGACTCCAGCAATCACCCACCACACCTCGCCCGTGACCCACCCTAGCTGTCATAATCCCCAGCCCCAACACCACCTTCTGGACCTAGACCATCCCCAACCCTAAACGCCACACGACATTCTGGATTCGGACCAGCACCAGTCCTAGCACCATACGACGGATCTGGATCCCAAAACGAGAAAGAAATTCACCGATGAATATCTCCTCAGATTCTCCATCCACCACGCGAGACAGAAAGACAAAAAGAGATGAAAAAGAAGGCGAGCGGCGGAGCTGCTATGGTGGTGCTCGGCGAAGTGGCGGAGCTGCGGTGGCGGACGGTGAAGGTGTGAACCTGCGGTGGCTGCGCGGGACGAAATTTCCGACATGCAATGCTTCAGCGTTGGCGACTTGCTTCAGTCGAGGCGGAGACTGCTCGAGATAGAGATGGTAGCGAGTTGGCGACATTCGAGATGCGGACGGTGGCGGTGGCTGAGAACCCCGACAGACCCAGGCGAATAGAAAGAGGATAGAGCGGATACGTTAGGTTGGAAATATGCCATTTTTTTCGTTTTATATGGAGGGTAACTCTGTCATTTCATGCCTAAATAGGTCTCTTTTTTGTCTATCCGGGATTCATGTCTTATTTTTTAAAATTCATAAGCTGCAAGTAGTACGCTTGTCATTCTTTCTTTAAAAATTCTCACTTTTATTTTTTGGACGTCCCACTTAAAGATTCACATTTTCTATTTTAGGAAATAATTAACACTCTTAAATAAAAATTTAATCATAAATATTAAAAATTATGCATTTATAACTTTACAGTTATCATCAATAACCCATTACATTATATGTCAAGTACTTTGTGGTCTGATGGCATCACTGTGACACTTCCAAAGAGGAAGTCACAAGTTCGAATCTCATTCCAGTTCAAGGATGTTGGGCTTAACAGAACAGATACTATAATGGATTAGGGAGATTTACAAAAAAACTCATTACATTATATGCTCATCAAAATTATTTCTCAAAATATATTCGAATTAGCATATTTAATTATTGTCTAAATAATCGTGTCATTTTGTCATGGAAACCTTTAAACGGAACGAAGGTAGTACTATGCACCATTTTTCTTTTTCGAGAAATCTTACAAAGATTATCTCATATAAAATTTGGTAAAATTTGTATGAATCAATCATATAAAATTATGTTTATTTATGAATTCAATATCAATCACATAAACTCACTTTTTTAATAATTATGTCACATCTTCATGCCCCAAAGTTATATTATCCAACAAACCTAGCAAAGGAACCTATCAAATTCAACTACATTTAATTTTTTTCAAAAATGTTACTGAAATAAAGTTTGTTTCAAAAAATATAATTAACGATTACTCCCTCTGTCCCTTAAAACTTTGTCAACTTTTCTTTTTATATTATCTCACTAACTTTGTCACTGTCCCTTTTTAGTAAGGAATTTGTGTTTCAGATAATTTTTCCCCTCTAGAAAACTCTCAACCATACAATTTTTACTTTATTATTATTAAAAAGGGAAAGTGGTAAAGTTGTGCTTTATTGTTAAGTAAATAGATATTTGGAGAGCTAGAATTAAAATACCGGCCCAACTACACACATCAACTTTTAAAAAATAATGCTTGAATTAAGATGCCGGCCCAAGTAAAGAACCATTTTCTAAAACATGCTTGAACTAAGATGCTGGCCCAAATAATGTATGTTTGAATTAAAATGTTGACACTTGTAAACACTTCATTTAAAATAAATGGATTAGCATGTTAAAATGGTTGGACATGTGTTCAATTGATCTATGACTCAGGATGTTTTTACTTGGACTGTAATTTGTCCCAGACCAGACCAGATCAGACCAGTCCAGACCAGACCAGACTTGGATAGTTATAAAAATACAAAGAAACCAGACCTTACCAGACCAGACCAGTTCAGACCAGACCATACCAGACCAGACCAGCAAATTACAGTCCAAGTAAAAACATCCTCAGAAACGATGGCCGAATTGGGTATGTGTTAAATTGAAATATAAATTCAAATATTTCTTAACAACACGGGGCGTAATAGCACCACTTAAAAATCTAAATTGTAAAAATGTCTTGTGTTAATTTGTGTATTAATTGGTTATGGTACAAATCATGTATAAATTTACTATAACTATAGGATACTCTTTTTTCACGACTTAGGATGTTTTTACTTGGATTGTAAGTTGCTGGTCTGGTCTGGTCTGAACTGGTCTGGTCTGGTCTGGTAAGGTCTGGTTTCTTTGTATTTTTATAATTATCCAAGTCTGGTCTGGTCTGGTTTGAACTGGTCTGGTCTGGTCTGGACTGGTCTGGTTTGGGGCAAATTATAGTCCAAGTAAAAACATCCTTACTGCATTTAGTCGAGTGATCCATTGCACAAACGAGGAAACTCTCTTTTGTATACCTCTATCCCCATCAGCTGAAACAAACGCTCTAATTGCCTCTTGAGTAATAGTTCGAATAAGTGTTGAATGAACCCCTAAAAAATGTGATGTAAAATGTAATTGATAAGGTTGATATGTGAAAATTTAAAATAACTAAATGGCCACCTAATATCTTCATTAACTTTTTCATGTAAGCAGGTTCTTGGTACGATGTGTTTTTTTTCTGGTTTTATTTCTTTCTTCTATCCATTCCATCTCCTATAATTGTCGCTTGGATGCATCTCCTTCCGCAAATTATATCGTAGGATCAGTGCACCATGAGCAAGGTGTACCAATCCCAATACGGCATCGTTTTACTATTAAAACAAGCAGCGCAAACCATCATTCTCATTTGTTCTTATTTCCGTTTCAACACAGAGCAGGCCCACTTCTCCTTCCTGTCACGGACTGTTGTCACATTCCCCAACGGCGCTCTGCGATTTCTTTCTTATGTTCGACGGATTTGTTGGAAGCCTCAACCACTCAACGGAAAACGACTGGAGCAAAAGCAATGGAGAAGAGTTGCGATCCGCCGTAAGTGATGGATCATCTGGGTCAGGCGGTCAGGCCGTTTGTGGAGCTTTGGCCGCCGCCGCCTACAACCCGTACATCTTGAGAGCTAGCGCCATCTCTAAGAGCTTTCCTAAGGCAGTGCTGGATAGAATCACTTCTATCTGTCGCATCTTCCTTTGGGGGTGTAAATTTGCTAGAGTGGAACTCTGCCCTCCTGGCTAAAACCTTGTGGGATATCAACACAAAAAAGGATAACCTTTGGGTTAGGTTGATTCATGGGGTCAATCTTAATGGAAGAGGTGTTTGGGAGTTTACACCTCATAAAAGAGACTCCCAACTTATTAAGAAAATTGCTCTGATTAGAGACCAAATCTTGTCTCACTTTGATAACATCCAGGAGGCTATACACCATCTCCATGGCTTCCAAATTAATGGCAAGCTCTCCTCAGCCAAGGTGTATAACCTGCTTAGAATTAGAGGGGTTCCTCGGGGTTGGATGTCTTTCATATGGAAAAAGTATATCCCTCTTAAATTCTCCTTCATGGTTTGGTTAGCCTTTCGGGACTGGCTTGCTACTCTTGATAACTTGCATTCTCTAAAAAGTTTTTAAATGATTTTAGTTTTCTTATGGAATTAATTCTTATGGGTTTTTAATTGTCACTATTGAGTACTAATATGCTAGAAAAAGTGATGCTTCTTTACCTTGCTGCTCCATTTTCAATCTCGATGAGATTAGATGTAGCTTTAGAGTGTATTATTTTTCTTATATAATTTCTTCTTCCAGTAAGAGTAATCTTAACCTTTTGAGCATCTTTATTTATAAGCCTTTCAAATCTATACAACCAATTGGTATTGCAAGGCATCCTCATGGACTACTCTTGATCATGTATTCAATATTATTAATAAAGTGTGTTTGTGAATTGATCAGTTTGAAATCTCTTTTATTAATTTCTGATTTTTCTAATGTTTTTAAGGTGGGAGCATTTACTATGAAGTACAGATTGTGGGACTTCAGCGTACTCAAGCTTGATGCAATGTTTTATGTTCATGACTCATAAAAACTCATGCCACCCAAAGGAGAACATAGAATGAAACTTTGACATGCTCACACCACATGGGTGTGTTATAAGAGCACATTCAAATCGCTTCAAATCATAGAAAAATAATTAATTGGTTTGGTTTTCTTTATTGGACTTATCTATACAAAACCATTTCCTCATTGCTTCATTTCAGAACATTAAATTTAAAAATTCTCGAAGCAAATGGCAGATAGCATAGGATTTTTGGATCTTCATTGCAAGGGAAACCATTTTGGAGAAATTCATTTGAAGGTTTGTTGTTTATAAATTTGATGGTTTGAATTGTCTTCATTTACTCATTGAATTTTGTATACCCACTTTCTTATTGTGGTCATTCGTTGAGGTGTAAC